GAAATTCAAAAAGACAAGAGACAAAGTCTATTCAACGTACCTAGGTAACCATCTTAGTCACAGAAACCACTCAATTATTTGTCAAAGAAAGCTAAGGAAAAATGGTTTGCATTGTTTGTGACTGATTTCAATGTAACTACATGGAGGTTTACAAGAGTTCATAACTGAAGAAAATCGTTCATTTTAGATAACAATTTCTTTGTTTTTTACTTTATATGTTAGATCAAGAAGATTATGCTAATCATGATTGAGAAATTTGATTTGTATCCAAATTGTATGTTATTATATTTTTAGGGAATTTATTATTTTTACTTCAATCAAATGTGTGAATAGATGTAGTTGAACACATCTTAAAAATGCAATAACGAAGTTTTGCTAAAATATAAAACATATTACCTTCACAGCTACAGGAGTATCACTTAGGTATCCACTGTACACCTCCCCGAAAGCCCCTTGGCCCAAGGCTCTGAAATGAAAATACTTTTATTAATACCCTTTTTACGTTTGTAAGTATATTTGACATCTGGTATTTAAATCAAAACTTTCCACTTTTTATCAACAACTCAATATGTTCTTCTCTCCTTTTTAAAATCCAAGATTTCATACTTGACCAAGGTGAGACTCTCTCGAGGGATTTCGCTGAGGTCCTTGACTGTGTACATACTTCCACCAAATTCATAGTTGGGATTGTAGTCGGTAAACACCCCACCATTCTGACGAAGTTGGTTTAACTGGACTTCGGGGTTGCTCAATGGTTCATGATGGACGTCTCGTATATGTCTCTTCCGATAGCGGTTGACTAAATTAAAAAAAAAGGTCTATCTTATATTAACTCATAAAGTGTCTAATATGACAGATAACCACCAAGAGATCCATCTTATATTAACTCATAAGGTGTCTTAGGTGATACATAACCATTAAGAAGTTCATCATATAACTCGTTAACTTTCTAATTTGACAGACAACCACTAAGAAGTTCATCATAAAACTCGTTAAATGTCTAATTGGACAGACAACCACTAAGACGTTCATCATATAACTCGTTAAGTGTCTAATTTGACAGACAACCACTAAGACGTTCATCATATAACTCGTTAAGTGTCTAATTTGACAGATAACTACTAATAAGTTCATCATATAACTCGTTAAGTGTCTAATTTGACAGACAACCACTAAGAGGTCTATTTTATACGAATTCAAAGGTGTCTTATGTGACAGATAACCACCAAAAGATCCATCTTATATTAATTCATTAGGGGTCAAAGGTGACAGATAATCATTAAGAAATCCCCCTATATCAAATCGTGAGGGGCCTAAAGTAAAAGATAACCACTAAGAGATCCATCTTATATTAATTCATGATGTGTCTAAGATGATAGATAACCACCAAGAGACCCATCTTATATTAACTCATAAGGTGTCTAAGGTGACTTTCGCTTTTAATTGGCACTGCAAAAGAAAAAGTGAATAATAAGTTTTATTATATATATATATTTATTTAGAAAAATTTTCCCATAAAATGTTTCTACAAAAGACTTGGCGAAAAGTATTAAATAGTTAACAAACGAAGATTAAATTAATATAATTATCTAATTGTTCAATCAAAGAAGAGCTGTTTGAGTAAATCAACCTCATATAATAATACAGCCAAACTTTAGAGATAATAAATTAACAGATTAATGATCTATTGATATTACGGATAGCCACCAAGAGTTCCGTCTTATATTAACTCATAAAGTGTCTAAGATTAGAGATAACCACCAAAATATAAAGTAATGCTTGTTTGTTTGTTTGTTTTTAATTATGCACAAAGCTACACAAGGGCTATCTGTGCTCTGCCCACCACGGGTATCGAAACCCGGTTTCTAGCGTTGTAAGTCCGCAGACATACCGCTGTGCCACTGGGGGGCATAAAGTAATGCAGAATTTGTCAAACATTTACAACAAACAATCAAGCCAATGTTAAAGAAATGGTTGTAATATATAAAAAATCTTCCTGAATTAATAATGAGTTGGAAGTGATGAACGCTAAGCAAGAAAGATCATGTAGGAAAAATTCTTCATACGATAGATAACCCTAGTATTTCAACGATTATGATTATAATCCTTAACACCAAGTTTTCTGAATCGTTAGGCTTAAGAAATTAAAAACTATATGTGAAATAAAACTGCCACAATTGGTAGAACACTTAGGGGATAATTACTTACATCCTAAAAAGCAGAAAAAAAATATCACTGCCAGTGTCACAAAGATGCACAAAATGATCACTATCAGTTGGTGCATTGGAAGATGGAAACTTTCGCTTTTAATTGGCACTGCAAAAGAAAAAGTGAATAATAAGTTTTATTATATATATATTTATTTAGAAAACTTTTCCCATAAAATGTTTCTACAAAAGACTTGGCGAAAAGTATTAAATAGTTAACAATCGAAGATTAAATTAATATAATTATCTAATTGTTCAATCAAAGAAGAGATGTTTGAGTAAATCAACCTCATATAATAATACAGCCAAACTTTAGAGATAATAAATTAACAGATTAATGATCTATTGATATTACTGTATAACCTTTCCTCAAATTGCAATAAAGATTTAAAATTCTGATATTAATAATAATTTAATAATAGTTAAACGCATAATAGTTTCCTTTCTTAATAATTATAACATATTTGAAAATATCATTCACACACATGGAAGAAATTTCCGTTAGATCTAACATTAATTTGACATTATATAAGCTATTCTCTATATAACCTGAGAAAAGAGATCCTAATTCACCTACGTCATTTATTTTCTTTTTTAAACTGTTTTGTATATTGGGAATTTTATGTTTATTTATTCTAAAATTTTGTAGTTTCGATCTTATAATAATTTAGAATACCAATTACTGTTCATTATTATTATTTCTAGACGGGTGGGTTCCAAGTGAAGGAGCGAAACTAGTTTAAATAAAGAACTTTTGTCTAGCCTTTGGTTATCAAGTTTGTGATATTTAATTTTTACTCTTGACTTGGTGTTTCACTTTCTGTATACATATTTGACCATTTATTTTTACTTTAAAAGATATGAGTCAATAACCGCTTTCAAGAACGTAATACGACTGCTATAAAACTCATATCATTTAGCTCTGACATATTTTTCTAAAGAAGTAAACAAAACCTACCTAGACATGATAGGCCATCAGTACCCAGAGAAAAACCTTGAGGACATATACAGCTGAAAGTTTTGTTTTCTAAACTCATTGTTACACAGAGGAACTCGCATCCACAGCCCCTGTGGGCTGGTATTACATGTACTTGCCCATCTCCAGGATTGACTCCAGCCTCTTCTAAGGTCATAGTAGACGTTGGATTGAAATAAGACGTTCCGCCATTACCATTGCTATAGGAGGTGTCATCAACAGCAGCGTCTCCACCTAGTGGAAGTAATAAAAGTATGTAAAAAAATTGACAAAGTTGATGCTTTTTATACTTTAATATTTTATAGTAAAATGTCTCTTCACTATATTCTTCTTTATAATTTATCGCTACGAGTCACGTTTGAAACTGGATTTAGCAAAGTCTCTAGCTTTCCAATAAATGAAGATTTTACAAGATTTTTAAATAATATTTGTAGATAGTGATTGATACGTTCTGAACGATTATATAGTGTGTTTGTTTGTATTTCTTATCATGTTTAAAATTCTTTATTTTATCTTGTTTCTAAGTAGCGTTTACAGGGTACTTACATCACATCTCTTGATGAAGTTCAATCATCTTAAAAATGTACCTAATAGTTGCTGAAAACATTTTCACACTTACCTATAATAGAACCTCAAGGAAATATTTGGCAATAATTTGGTTTATTAATATATATTTATAAAAGATAACAGCAAAAGTTTATCCTGCAAATACAATTTCGGCATAATGTCCTGAAATTATGTCTTTTACTCCTAATAACTCATAGAGCTTCAAGTAACATTGAAATAAGCTCCCATGTTTAAAATGATACAACCTCAAGGTAATGTGTTAGAATGAGTTTGTCCTCTATAAACCAATACAGGTTCAAGATACTCTTGGAAAAAAACTGTCTTGTTAAAACTGATACAAGTTAAGATAGCGTCAGATTAAGCTTGACATTTAAAAGGCTGACAGTTTCAATATAACACTGGAATACGCTTGTACTTTAAAAATTGATACAGTTTGTTTGTTTTTGAATTTCGTGCAAAGCTACAAGAGGGCTATCTGCGCTAGCCGTCCCTAATTTAGCAGTGTAAGACTAGTCATCACCACCCACCGCCAACTCTTGGGCTACTCTTTTACAAACGACGAGTGGGATTGACCGTCACATTATAACGCCCCCACGGCTGAAAAGGCGAGCATGTTTGGTGGGACGGGGATTCGAACCCGCCACCCTCAGATTGCGAGTCGAGCGCCCTAACCACCTTGCCATGCCGGGCAATTGATACAGTCTCAAGATAAATTTGAATAAGACTGTAAGTGATGATACAGCATCAATATGTCATTGATATAGTTCACTGAACAAGTGACCTAACTTTAGGTTAAACAGCATCAATATGTCATTGATATAGTTCACTGAACGAGTGACCCAACTTTAGGTTAAACAGCATCAATATGTCATTGATATAGTTCACTGAACAAGTGACCCAACTTTAGGTTAAAATCTTACTATATTCCAAACTTCAGTGACATGTATAAGAATTATTTAGCAGATATAATTAAGTGTTTTCAGCTAATGAGAAGCTTATAACCGCATTGAACAATTATATAAAATTATATACCTCTGTAACCTCCCCCTCCTCCTCCTGCTGTGCAAGCTCCTCCTCCACCTCCAAATCCCCCGTGTGTTTTCCATTCAAAGGCATCTCTACAAACGTACCCACCACGTGCACCGTTCAGAAAAGATCGTCCTGATGTCGAACTTTGGTCAGCATCGTTAGAGTCGTTCCAACCACCACCTCCACCTAGTGAGAAATTTGTGAATAAAATCAAAACTTTTTGTCAGTGATTCCCTGGTGTAATTAGCCAGTTTGTTTGTTTGAAATTAAGCATAAAGCTACACAATGGGCTATCTGTGCTCTGCTCACCACTTGTATCGAAACCTGGTTTCTATTGTTCTAAGTCCGCAGACATGTCGGTGTGCCACTGGAGGGGGGGGGGCGTGTTTAGCCAGTGTGAGCCGAGAAAAGTATGTTAAACTATTCTGGAAGGTCACGAGTTAAAAAAGAAAGATGGCTCTCTTTTTATGATCTTCTATGGGACTCTGATTCAGCAGAAACATCTTCGTCTTCTATTCGTAAGAAGATTATCTACTCTTGTAAATCATGTAGGTAAGAAACTCTGCCATTACACGGATAAGTAAAATATATTCGTGACTTAGTATTCATTAAATCGTTAGAAAGACATTATTTTTTTTTATTCAATATTCTTAAGAAATTGTTCGATAAAGGATTTGGTATAAAACACTATTCTCTCAAAGTTGACCTTTGTAAGACTTGGCATGAGAAACATTATATTACTTAGGTATTTGTTAGAAAAACGAAAGGATTTCGTCTAAACCACACATAACATATTCATTAACTGAATATTTGTGTGAATGAACTAAAGTATGGTAGTTTTGTGGTTATTAACGTTAACGTCCGATCAGAGCAAATTATATACTTAGAACGAAACTAAAATTCAAGTTAGCGAGCAGAATAGCTGATAAAATATAATTGTATTACTTTTCTACTCAAGAAGATTAAAGTGCACAGTCTCATGAATTAGGTACCTTTGCTGATAACATTATTTTTGGCCGTGATTCCAGCAAAATCTCACGAAGTTCGGCCAGCTTAGGAGATTTAGGTTATTCTTAAATATATTAGGCTAACAATGCAAAACTATCTCTAGAATAAAATCATAATAATACATAAAATGAATAATGTTGTTTGATAAATTATATAGTATAACCAATATGCTAATGAAAGTAACAATAGATAAATGATATATGATATGTTGCTTGGGGAACACAGAAATACTAGCTTAAAGTACTTTCGTTGAAGTAAATTTCTTTTAAAAACGTAACCTAGTTATAATATGCTTGATTTTTCTTCAATTCTTCCTAACAAGTCTTTTGACCAGTGGAAACTCATCAAGCCATTCCCACTGTCTAACGTTAGAGAAGAGTGACATCTATGACGACACGTGTTACTGTTTAAACTGTGTCGACCTAATAGCAGTAGTTTTCCTATAGTACGATAAAAAATAAAATTTATGAAGATACAAAATAATCAATCGAAAAATGGAATAATACGTGAAGTGTCTATGAAAATATAAGTGTTAAATATAATACAAATAAAACAAGACCGTGTGGTGTGTCTAATACTATCACTATGACACTTAACAAACATATAGAGTTGGCTAAAGGAAATAATAAATAAAGTTAAATCTTTTGTAAAAACAGAAAAGTAAACAGCATAAGCCTCTATTCTATAGTGTTGAAACCATAAATACACAATTAATATATTTCAGTACTTGGACGGGGGTACTCCTGTTTTCCTCTCACATCAAAATTATGGGTATTAGGATTTTCAGATCCACACCCGAAAATTGTCGTTTTTCAAAAGTGAAATTGCTGTAACCCCCCAAACCATCCAATAAGACACATCAAACTACAACACCATTACTATGATCGATACCACCCCTGTCTTTCTAGCCAGATTTAAAATCCACCATGATTTCTTTTATTTATTTATTTTTTCTCACGACACAAATAGTGCATGAGCGGGGTGAAGAGATAATGTTTTTGAACACCCCCGATTACTTTGACCCTTGGTCAAAATTGATATCTAAAATTAATTTGGCCTAAGGCTAGAAGTTTTAAATCGAAATAACTGCCACGGTAAACTAAAACTAAACTTCAGTACTTGGCTTTTTATCTTCATAATACGGTAATGCGCAATATACGAAGCGAACATTTTGTAATTTCTAGAGTAGAAAAGAAATATATTGTTCTATGATGGAGGTTTAATGGAAAGGGTTAATTTTACCTGCTCCGTTATGGGAAAAGACTCCGTTTCCAGGAGGGATGCTAGGGATGACACCACGTCCATTAGGGTCTATCGCTGTATCTGGGTCATCGGGTTGGTTATACGATAGCCCACCGCCTCCAGCAGCCACAGCCAAGATAATAGGTTGGTGAGATTGAGTATGGAGCTGTTGGTAAGGGATCAAAATACAATAGCTAAAACTATAGTTTGGGATTCTCAGGATTGTTTGAGCTAATATCATATAGTATTCTTAATTGTTTTAATAAATGCTTTAGTTTGAAATGTATGAATCATACTGTTATGCAAAATATATTATAATATCGAGAAATTCTGTTACGATTACATATGTTGAGTGCGATCAAAACACCATTTTAGTGTTGCAATTATTTCTTCACACACAAAGTTTTCCCAGTCTGTTTAACAACCAA